AAAAATTTATTAACTTATAACTATAATTAATAATTACATATAATAAAGTTTAGTATTTACTTAGAAGACTCTCTACCATTAGATTCTAATAAAAGTTCAACCCATATTCTAGCTTTCTAGCGAAACGAAACGCAAACAAAACATAATATCATAAGATCAGTGTAGTAGGATTGATGTATATTAGCTAAATGCTAAAAATGCTTTTATTAAAATATTACAGAGAAGGTCTTATAACCTTCTCCATAAATTTTTTTTAATAAGTAATTTCCAATATGTTCAAAATAATTCCAATACAAGATTATCTGTTGCATATTAAGTAAAACGTACCGGAAAACACAGCACTTCTATTACGTTATTTCGTTCTCGCTTTGTTTATGTTCCAATTTGGAATATTTTAGCCTTTTAGGTAATCTTAACTAGAATCTTTAAATACATCAATCTGTGTGTGCAAAAGTAGTAATTACATAACTTACAGATACAGTCAGATACAGTGAGATATTCACGTCTATATGTCAGCAAAGTAACAGCTGGGCGGGTGCATGGGCATTTGTTTAATCGCGTATAATTTCATTAAAAGCATACCATGTTGTAAATTAGTGGGGGTGAGGAGAGATAAATAGACCGAATAGCGCTTTATGTTACGTAAATTTTTAAATTTACCATAAAAATTGCTTTAACGATACTAAAAACATTGCCTCTAGCGCACATTTCGCTAAACAGGACGTGAGGGATTACTAGCGCTTAGCAGCGAAATGTTTATGCGTCCATTTAGGCATTACAAAACAACAACAACAACAACAATTGCTACTACAAAAGAACAAGTAAACCATAGAAGGCAAAAATTGCAGGAAAAAAGAAAAAAATAAATATAGTGAAGGAAAGGAAAACGTCTAACATCAATTTCATTATTTGTGTGTTTGTTGGCACCCGTGAAAGTAACAAACGAGTTTTGCATTCGAACCAAGCAACCATAACTATTTATCTATTCTAAACTCATAGACGCCATCAACGATGTGAATGTATCCGTTCGACCGACGAGTTGACTAAATGACAGCTTCCCTGCCTGACTGCCTGCATTAAACAAGAAGCAAAACGCTAAAAATATTTCCAACCTTTTCGATGATGTAGACCACCATGGTATTGCGGGGGGGATGTTTAAAGACGGTAATGTTCCTGTCGCTGTCATCTCATTGTCGGTAGCTTAGGCGAACGTTTTTGCTATTCTTCGCAGGCAGCTTAAGCTCGTTCAAACAGCACTTTACCCCCCAAACTCCAACTCGTTCGCTTTGTCTGTCGGTGTGTTTGCTTAATTTTTCGATTGTTTGTACGAGAATATTTTGACATGTTTTGGCTACGTAATGAGCGTGCTGTGGTCGAAATATACAAAATCCTTAGAAGGCGTTGGGCGTGACTGTTAGGTGATTTAAACTGTTGTTTTGCGTAACCCATTGTTATCGGCATTTATATTGATGCGGTACGACAAAACAAAATTAACTGGAACGGCTCGAAGCGAGTGGGGGAAGGTAAGACCGAATTGTGTGTGGACGTAGTGCGAATGTGAGGCAGCGTCGATGTAGCATTTACACACAGCGCTACATAGCCTTTAAAAACGATTAACTAATTTTGTTTCGCCCATGAGACAGTTTTGTTTGCATTTGGCTTCCTTGTACGGCTCGAATGATTTCAAAAAGGATAAATTGTAATTTCAGTTGAAAGGTATAAATTTGCATTAATTTGATGAACTCTTAATCTTAATATTCTCTTGTACCAACACGTTAATGATTACGTTAAGGACTGCGACAGCGATGACAAAAGCAATAACGGCTTGGCTAAGGAAGTGGGCGTCGTTGACAGTAACGCTTTGAGCTTTTAAAAATGCAAACACCATCTCTGCCGAGTTCACCACATCTCACCAGCATACAAGCGAAACTCAAGGGTAGCATTATTCCTAAACAAAATTTATGCTGCTAGCTCGGAACGAGTCCGGAGTGAGTATCTTTTAACTGTCACTAAGACAGTTTTGGTATCGATGCTGGTAACTAAAGTTTTTGTTTCATTCTGTTTCAATTATTCCTGAGCTGCGTTGAAGTGGTTTGGCTGGTGTGGCTGGTGTGGCTGGTGTTGTCGATGCTTCCATTGACTGATGTGTTGACATGCTTCAAGTGTTGTTCCACTCAATTTATTTGCCTTTGTTCGAGTACCTTTCGAATTTATGGCTAAAAATATATTGAATTTGTATTGAAATTAGTAAATTTCAGCATTTAACAGAATAAGAAATGCTTTCTCATCTATTTTGTTAGAAAACAAATGACTTTGAGCTCTTACTGACCTATATTTGCCCCCAAACGGTCCCTGTCCCAATCACCAGAATTGCCACTGTTGGTTTTTATGGTGTTGCTTCAATTGGATTGTCTGTTAAAATTGCTTTTTAAGTTATTTTGTTATTGTTGTTGTTGTTTCCTTTTTTATTGTTTTGTATTGAAAAATAATTTTGTAGCAGTTAGGATTAATTTTGCGCAAGGAAACAAAATGTCCTTACATTCCCCACGCATTCATTCATGAAGAATGAAGATAAAATGGCTTTTAAAGATTAAGATACATAATAAACAATGACTTAATATTAGTTAATTTCGGCAAGATACATAATATATTCTTAAATAGTACCAATTTCAGTTATATCTTTCAGTATTACTTGCAAATAATGCAAATATATTTATAATTAGATTAAATTATTATAATTTATTTAATTATTTATTGTAATGGTTTTATATGCAGAAATTTACAGAAATAAATGTTCAATCGACCTTATAAAAACTTATAAAAACTGTTCAGAAATAATATAGTCGTAGCAACACTATAGGCAACCTTACAAAAATTTTTGATGTCCAAATAAAAACAGATTAATTTGTTTATATTAATGAGTGGACGTTCACATTATTATGAGCTCATTTATGCGGCTGATGAAACTATTATAACCTTCGCTTAATAATATATAGCACAAAAGAATTAAAATAAATTTTTATATTAAATCATTTATATACATTTTATATGTCAATTACATATTTTACAAAGATTTTATTAGATACTTACTTTCTCAGTTCCTTTGTATACAGCTTAGCTATTGTTTGTTTACATTTTACATATAAAACATTTGGCACATATTTCAAATTTTTGTAATTTTCCTTTTGGAAAATCCTTCCTTTATATTTAAAGATTACATATTACATTTTTCGTCTTATATGAACTCATTTATTAATAATGAGTTCATTTATAAGAAAGCGTTTTGTATGGTAAATCATCCACTTTGTATGGCAATAATGAGCAAAACTGCCTAAACAAGACAGTGTGAATGTACTATAAGAGTTCCATTATAAACCATCTAACCTTAATGTAATAAAATAAAATAAATAAATATAATATAATAAAACAATCATTTACCAAGAAGCATATAATATTAATATTAGGTTATAAAAATAAGTTTAATTACATTACAGAAAATATAACACTGTGATTTAATGCATTTCTTTAAATGGTCATCTGTTTTATCTGGTTGGCTGTTTGGTTGCAGTGGTAGGCTATCAGATAACTTTCCATGTACCTCAATTGGCGAATGTTCATCGTTTTGCTACTAAATTCCTTGCAAGAACCACTAAAATAGAAGAATACAGACTAAATCCATTCAATCGAATTCAGATAATTGAATAGGTATTTAGATAATTGAATAAGTCTTTCGTCTTTACCCATGGAGAGTCTGATAATCTGTTTTATCTAAGGTCAGTTTTATCTGAAATGGGATTTTTTTAAATGGTCAGTTTTATTAATACTGTAATCTTTTAGAAATGTAAAGAAAAACTTTCGTTTTGTCTTCAAAGCATCGACTCTAATTAAAAATGTTGAAGATATTATTATACACAGCATTAAACTAATACTGAACATACATCGCAAAAATCAAAATTTTATTATAATACCTAGATGGCTTTCAAACGAGTACCAAATAATCATAAATCTTAAAAATTCGAAACACTTTATAACAGGATAATTGGAAAGGTTCTAATAGGAACAAAGATATTTTGTTTCCTTTAAAATACTATATAAAATATCTAAGAGCATAAGAGCAGTTTGCACCAGGCCCTGCGGTTTTAAAGATTCCGAAATATAATCAATTTAAAGAAATTGTGTCTTTCAACAATATGTGGAGCTGAGATGCTCTTCGTCTTTTCTTGATTGAATTGTTATTTACATTTTAGAATTCTCTTTATAAATGCCATTTTAAAGATTTTAAAAAATGAATTTTAAATAATATAAAAATAAGTATTTGCATTTTATAAATTTATTTATTTTTTATATATAGTTTTCTTTTTATACAATATTGACCATGAGCACAATCCTTTTGAACTTACTCTTATATAAAAATATTTATATCTAATTAATTTAATAAATAACATTTAAGTCTTTAATGTTTAAAAATATTTACAGACAAACTAAACTAAAATTATTTGAAAATTAAAAAACTAAAATAAATAACTTATTACTTAAATATACTATACATGCTGTTACTATTTATATTATTTATTAAAATCATTAGTTTTCGTTATCAATAATTGAAAGATATTATTTTTATTGGGATTTGTCAGAATTCCAGACAGAATTGTGTTCTACTTTTATAGAGCGGGTCTAAGGGATTGTGATATACCTAGTGTACTCGCACTTTATGTGGATATTGTTGCAATTTATTCCTATTATCAAAATATGTCACAGATTCAGTAGATATACTATATAGTATACATATATATATTATTTCATATACTGGCAGTTATTTTGTAGTAATAGAGAAGACTATAATAATAACCATTGTCCATCACAATATAATATGTGTACTTTGATTTTAAATAAATTGATTTTTCATACGTTTTACTTGATTTGATTTGATTAGATTTGACAGAAGTATTTTATGTTATTTATATTATCTTAAACAATAATGAATATTATTTTTGGTTGATTTATAATTTTTCACCACTTAAGTTAACGATATTATAATAATTGTGATCGGGAAAACGTTCCAATTCAATGTAATCCATTTCGGTGTGTAACAATTTATCGAGCATCTGAACAACCTCCAAGAAAGTTGGCCTCTCATTAGAATCGCTGGACCAGCAATAATACATGATGTTATACAGTTCCCTGCGACAATGTTCAGGCTTTTCTAGCCGATAACCATCACGTACCTGTAGGCATTATATAGACATTATTAATATTAAAGATAATAATAATTAATTTTATAAGTTAATAATTTATATTAAAATTATATATTTCAATTTCTGATTTAATATTGTTTTGCCTTAAAACTAATGAATTCTTTTGTCTTTTAAATATATGAAAAAATCAAATGAGTTAAAGCATGAATAAATATAATTTAAGTTGGGAGAGTTCGAATAGAAATGAAAAGACAACAACAAAACATTTTTATTCGAACTCTTCGGCAAAAAAAATTAACATTAAATAATTTGTTATTTTTATTTTTTTTATATAATATGGCATATTAAAGCATTATTGAATAAGCACGAGTATCTATCTTAATATAACATAATTTTCTTTCCGTTTTCACAAATCACTACATTATTAAAAACCTGATGTGGTTATTCTGTTATTATTTATGTTGAATTATCAGAGCAAAACACGCAGGAAAAAGTATGAGATTTTTTCAATGCAATATGGCAGTATGGCAACATGGCAGTGTCTTATTATTCCTTTTGTGTATCGATTCAAGCTTAATATTATATAAGTTTTCCTTCATAAACAAATACACTTACTTTTCGCATAACATCTGCAGCTGATATGCCTGGATATGGTGTTGAGCCAAGTGTTACAATTTCCCACATTAGTATGCCGAAGCTCCAAATGTCCGATTTAACAGAAAATATGTTATCATAAAGAGACTCCGTTGCCATCCATCTGCGCATAAAAAAAGAAATAATAATAAAATGAGAAGCTCATGCAGTAGATGGAGCAGGAGGGGGGATTTCATGAAATCAGTAAATAAAATATAAATGAAAATATTACAGAACTAAATCAATTATGTAGAATATAAAGATCCCGTGAATAAACATTTATTCAGTATTTGCAATAAACTTATTCATATCGTTTTCAAGAGGTCACTGGTGTTTCCTGAAGATGTAGTTTACGTATTTTGTTGGAATGGTGACTGCGTGTGGCAAAATGTTTTAATACATTTAAAATTCATAAATATTTATGACCGACCAAATTTCTTCTTGAAAACACATTTTGAAGAATGTAAGTAAGCTTTTAATAAATTATTATCAAATAAAATTAAATTAATTTTTTACAGCCAAAAGGGAAAAAAATATTTCTCGAATCTCTAAGGCTTTTATTGTAAGAGCAGTAGCAGTGTGAGATATCTAAGCTCTAAACAATAAAACTTTTTTTTTATTTATTGCGTCTAGAAATATATTTAAATTAATTTAATACATTGTAATAGTACTAGTTTATAGGTTACGCTTCGGCACTGCGTTCAGTTTCATCTATTTTGCACCCCTTTGTATTTAGGAATTTAGTATCTCAAGGAAACGAACCAGTTCTTCAACCTGTAGTTGGTGTGCACCTAAAATTTTATATCTTCTGTGGCCTAGTGTGTCACAGTTCCATACATCAGTTGTTTCATAGACTCTTCCTCATCTCAGCAGAATCTGCAAATATTTGTGTCGGATATATTGTTTTGTTGAGGTGTAGGCGGCGTGGCCTGTTAATACACCAGAGAGTGCCTTTAGACTTTTCTTGTTTAGGTTGAAAGCGGTGTTTGCTCTTTTGGTATCAAAATTCAAGTGCTATTTCAATATTCCATGATGTTTTGTTGTATCCATTTTTTGGTCTCATGTTTTATGTGTTTTTTATTACAGTCAAAGAAAGCGGTTCAACAGATGAATGGCTCTTTTGCCTCTTTTTTGGCATAAAGATCTGCCTTTTCATTGTCTTCGTGTCCTTCATGTCCGGGTATCCAAATCAGAGAGACCTGGTTGTAGGTAGCCAGTTCATTGAGTGCATTGTTATACTCTATAAGGACTTTTGATATGAATGTGTACGTATTTGGAAGGTATTTGGAAGGTATTTAATTCACTTACTCTAAAATCATAAGTCATTTAATATTGCTTTATACAATCTAGTTAACAAAAGCAAATATTTTTAACTTCAAGACAATTATTTTGTAAGCATTCCAGGATTAGGAAGGTGCTCTTATTAACCACCAATGAGTTTAAATTCAGGTTTTTGGCTTGAACTATACTTTACGCCATCGGAATATATCTTTCAAGCTAAATAAAACAACGCTTTGTTTAATCTTGTAGAATAATGTAATTAAGATGGGGTTTTTTCACCATTACCATGGCAAGATATCTTTCAAGCTAGATAAAAGGACGGTAAGTTTAGTCTTGCAGAATAATATCCTCAAGGTGGTCTATCCTCTCCTTTGTGGCTGGTGATTAATGATCTGGACAAGGGAGCTACTACATCATTTCATAAATAAATGGCTAGGCATCATTACAATACAAAAATATTATACCACTTGTCACTAAGATAAGATAGACAGGCTCATACTGAATGAAACTTCTTGTCACATTTTGTGTATCTATGTTAACTCAAAAGAAAGGTAGTTAGCATCTAATCAACAAAAGATTCTTATTATTATTAGGCAGATAATAAGCAATTTGGTTGATCAAAGACCAAAATGAGATGAGATATAAAAGATCTCACAACATAGCAATGTTCTGTTCAATCAGAGGCTTTATTGTTAAGTATTACTTCTAGCATCAATTATTATATTGCACAAGTTTCAATGAAATAGATTGAAATGAGTTTTTCAATGTATCATATCATTCTTTATTATTTAGTGTGAATAGTTAATTTTTTTTAGAAACTGATAATAAAATTATTCTTATAATTTTTTTTTACAGTAGATATTAAATACCGACTTTAATCAGTTATAAATCATAATTTGCTAAAATGTAAAATCGTGTAGTAATAGAGCCAATCAGCTATTGGCTTTCTAAAATTGTCATAGTCCTTAAATCAAATGTAAATTCTTTTTCATCCGCAATAATATGACAGATTCAGACTAGCACCGAATTAAAAACCATTCGGGATCCAAACTTTGTAGCAAAAATAATTAAATTGAAATTATGTCTTTTCATTCAAATGCAAATTATATAAATGAATGAATACAAGATTCCAATAGGAAAATGGAAAATGACATGTCATCGTTGGCGTTTGCGTCATTTGTATGCGAGGCAGCGCCCGGAGCATAAATATTTGCTCCATTTGCTTTGAATTTTCCGGTTGTATTTACTTTTGGTGTACTTTTTATGAATATAACAAATTTCATTGCAATGAGGCTTCATGGCACGAATAAATGAATGCAGCACTTATGAATTTGAAATTACCCGATTATGGCAGGGAAGCAACAGAAGCAGTACACACATGCGAGTAGGTGCCATGGAACCCTGTTGCCGCAACGTGTACGCTTTTAGTGAAAAGTAACATTAACACCATTCCGCTAATACTAGCGTAACTGAGTAACAGAGTGACGAAGTGGTGAAGTGGCAGAGTATAAGAGTGGAGTGGAGTGGAGTGGAGTGGAGTGTGGTGCAGTGTTGGATAAAAGTGAATTTAAAAAGTGTACAAAATTGTTATAAAGCGCAACAGCTTAGCTAAGCTAAACTCATAAACGTTGCAAAAAAAATCAGCAACCTCAGCACTGGAAAGGAACGACAAATGCAACTGAAACAATAATTCACCAGGAGTGCTACAGCGAAGCAACACCAGCATCAATGACAATTCCAACTACTAAAACGCCAACGACAGCATCACGTGCTGCAACCCAAATGAGACAAACTAGTGCCACACACATGAACTTATACTCGTATAAGTGGGAGCATGAATAAAATCTGTAAAATACAGAAATCGAATAAAAGAAGTGGAAGTGCAGAGGAAATAAGGATCAACAGCAGGCTGATGGTTGCATTGCACAGCTGTATCCTATTCAATAATCATTAGTTGCAGTAGCGTAACGTTGAAGTTCCATAGCAATGCTCACACATTTTCTGCGAGGATTCTAAGCGAGGCGCAAGGGTGAGAACATTGTGCTGGCATGAATTGAAATGAGTACTTAGAAATATTTTTAGTGCCGGAAAATACATACTAAAGTAGCCATAATTCTTTACAGTACATCAAAGCCTGTGCCAAATGCACCGTGAACAGAGCCAATGCAGCGAACATAAAAAATCTTAGGCAACTGGAAATGTGGAAATGTGCTAATAAATTTATTGCAGGAACGACGAAAGAACATAAAAGAATATTTTTTTAAAAGAATACTAAACTGAACTATTGTACTTGTTTCATATTTTATTTAAACATGCTTGTGCAGTAGTAAAGCACCCTGTATGCGCACAGTGCATTCCGGTTCTATGCACAACGCCAACGCCAACGCTTTTCGTAATTGTGCAATTTAAAATTTATTTGTGCATTTTTCCAACGTTCGTGAAAATGTTATTTATATCTAATAATTGCTACCGACCGACCGACCGGCCCAACACCTCACAAAACACCACCGAGTGCCAGCCAACACATGCGACTGGTGGGAATTGAGCTGCGATGTGCAGCGAACGCGCACTAAATATTTAAATGGATCCTTTTGAGGGCTGCAGTGATCTCAAAATTGCTGCTCTAATGTTTTACGGCTTCACTGGCCCGCTTCTATGGCGACCCAATCTACAAGCAACTGCTGCACTTATTTGGGCCAACATAAAAAGGGTTAATGAGGCTAGATTAGATTTTCTGGTGTTCAACGACTGTTGCTGCTGCTGTCGTCTTTGTTGTGGGTTGCCATCGTAATAAAAAGCGATACACCTTTTTTGCTGTTTCACACTTGCGCTCCCATCCTGCATACTACTTTTGCCAAAATTGTTAATTTGGAGTAAAGCGATGCTCAATGTTCGAGTTCGCGTTTGCTTTCGCTGAAGACAGGCAACACTTAACGAGCGGGCACCAGCTTGGCGTGACACCAGATGTCGCTGTCATTTGGGTTCTTCTTATTTACTTTTATTTATTTTTTTTGTTTTTTTGTTTTTTTGTGCTTTTAACTTTTCTGCTTTTTAGTGTTTTGGTTGAATTTGGCAAAAGCTTAACTTTTTTCTCTTATTTTTATGTCTTTTGGTTAACGTCACGCTGTGCGGAAAAAAGGAAAACTCAATTTCCAAAACGTGAACTTATTTTCATTTCGCTGCCATTTTTGTTGACTGTTATTTTAATTTGGACAGAAAAATTCCACTGACAGCGTGGCTGGCAATTAAGCTTAACTGAAAATTGGCAAACGTACCTTATGGGTAATTTTCCTTCGCTTTTGCGTTCGTAAATTTTGGATGTAACAACATCACGTGCAAATCCGAAATCCGCCACTTTGCAGGTGTGATCATCGGTAATGAGAATGTTCCGTGCTGCTAAGTCCCGGTGAATGATCTGTGAAGTAAATTTAATAATTTTAACTTTCATATAAATTATTAAAATTAAGTTTAAATAATTATTGGAAAAAAACATGTTTCAACTTTATATGTCATAATTACGTCTTATGGGGTAACCATGACACATAAAAATTATATATTATATAGAATATCAAATATTTAAAGTATAACGCAATAAATCATTGGCAAAGAAGAAATGTCACGAAATGATAATGATGATATTTCATAAAAATATTTTAACCAATTGGGAAAGAGTTAAATAAATGGAAAAATTTTTACAAGTTATTGCAGAATATGAATAGAATATGTAACATAAAGAAATTACAAACATATTTTCAAAACTGCATTTTAAATATTTTGGTGGATCGTATAGCGAAATACGATGCTATAGACCACGATTTAAAAGTTGAAAAAGTGACTAAGATGAATTTAAGGTCTGCATATTTTTCAATATAGATTACTATATAGATTATTATTTATATTGAAAAATATGCGGACTTAAAATTCACCTTAGTCACTTTTGTAACTTTTGAATCGTGGTCTATAGAATACGATCCACTAAAATACTCCAAAATAACTTTGTAGTTGTAACTTCATTTATTTTGAATTAAATAACAAAAGAAAAAATAGCTGTGATTAAAAGCATTAAATGTTACAAACATTTTACACCTAAGTTCTTAAACATTGAATCTTAATTGCCACATTATATAGAAAAAATAATGTTTGGCTTTAATAGTTTTGACACAATATAAAGCCATTAAATTCACAATCTACACCCAAATTTGGCTTTAGGTTAATACTTTAAGAATAATATAAAGAAAAATTCAGAAGTGTGATCAGAAGTGAGTATCCCACCAATTTTAAATTGGGATACCGTTAGTTTGGCATAACATTTAGCTATCCATTCTAAAAATTTTGAATTTATATATCTCTCAAATGCCTTTAGTATAAGCTGTAATGTATCTAAATGCAATTAGAAATATGTTTGGTACATAATGCCGAGGGACTACCTCTGGATTTCTCATGAAACTAGATATATACGGGGGCAATATATCACCTTACTTATACGCTTATGACAAACACGTAACATAGATACAACCACATGTTCTATGACCACACTCAAGCATTGACTTTAATAAAGGATCAGTACTTAATCCAATACTTTTCAACATCATCGTGGATAAGCGAACATCTAGGAGTAAATAACATAGAACATTCTCTGTGACAAATAGGACTGAGCTTATTAAACACATAAGCAATTTCCTAGAACGGAAATTAAGCAACTAAAGTCGCAACATAAGCCGCATTGGAATGGAGAAGAGATTGAACACTTCATAGTACGGTGTTTATTGACATATGTACTGATCTGCACCAAACCCTAATGAGGAATGGTCAATTGTCTCGAAATTGAAAAACCTTATGTTAATTTTAAGCAAAGGAGGTAGGAAAAGTAGGTAGAGAAGATTACGCATAGTATAGAATAACACAGCTTAAATTAATAGCATAGTTTGACTTGTGTCTTGTATGATAAAAAGATGTCTACAGATTTAAAATATACAGAACAAATGCAACCATATATATGTATCCTGTTTGGCTGTATATATGACAGTGAATGCTGGGGGGAACAATCTGTTCATAATCTGAAAATGTACGCAACCAAAGTGAAATCAGAAATATCGACGTAATAAGCGCTAATTCAGCTTACTGGAAACCTATATATATATATATATATATATTAATTATTGTGGTAACGCACGAATTCAATTCTTGGTACTTGCAGTCTAAAAAAATTATTTACGAATAATTAAATACTAGAAATAATTCCAAGACCACTGATGATGGCTGTACTACTGAAAACAGCTGTATTGCCAAATTAATATTCCATTAATATAATTTCTCTGTTGATGACTCTACCTTCGACCATAGGTTCTTCATATTCAAATATCCTAAGAAAGACTATAGCGTTCGAACACTAAAAAATATAGATTTAAGAAACTATTTTATACTATGTTGAAACTGTAACTACACAGTTTTATGTCAAAACGAAGTAACTTTGTACCAAACTTTTAATTTAAAAGGTGAAAATTTCGTAAGAGGACGCAACTTTAAGATTGTAGTATGGCAGTTTAAATGATAACATGGAGTTATTTTTTTTTTCATTTTATATATCAACTTTAATATAAGAATTTCAATATTTGACTATGGAAATATCAAAAATGTTTAGTTTAAAATTTAATATATATTTTGCAATATTTTTCTCTATTGCAGTATTTGGTTGGAGTTTTGTACGTTATTGCTTTTTTATTGCATTGGAAACTTAAGTGAAAATTGTGTAGGAATTTTTTATGCTCGTCCTAAATAGAATATTTCATTTCCTTCCGTATGGAAGGAATCTTTAGTCTGCAAATGTAAGCCAGTCAAGTTTATTTACGAATAAAAGATATTTCATGTCAACGCGTAGTCAATAAAACATTTGATATTTGCTCATTTCGGCACGAGTGCGTAGACTATGCACTACCTACTTTTCCTGAACTATTTCCGTATAGGATCATAAACATGTGAACATGGCGAATGCGTTTCCAGCACAAAGGAAAGCGTGACAAGTTGACAAGAACACAAAAAAGAACTGAAAGAATAAATGAAGTAAAATAAAAATTCACAACTTCCTTTTTACAATTTCAACAGAACCAAGTAAAAGGCATTTGAGCAACGACAAATGTAATGCCAACAAACCTAGAAGACATGAATCCACATATCTACAAGCAGTTGCATATGGCACCGAATATATAGTGTACGTATATTTATACGGGAATCACGCATTCAGTAGAAGCCCATAAAATTTATATCCTTAAATAAGCAACTTCAATTTAATTCTGTTTTTCTCTTCTTCTTTTTTTGGGTAGACATATTACACGCTACAGCCATCAACTTCCATCGCATCCTGTATCATCGTGAAACAGTTTAACGAGTTTATTGGAATAAGTAAGGCGAGTTGGTGCACCATTTCATTTATTATTAGATTTTCTTTTTTTTTCAACGCTTCTCAGTACGTCGTACGAAGTACATGTAGAAATTCTACCTTCAGTCTAAGTACAGAGCTGCAGTTATCCCAATACTTACATAGAATCATACAATCATTTCATGTGAAATAGAGCTGGAGAGTGTGCGTGTTTAGCAAATATGTTGCATGAAATATACTCCTACTTGAACTTACCCCTCGCGACGTTAGATAATCCATACCCTTAGCAACCTGATACATAAATGATGTTAAATCGCCTGACGTCAGGATATTCGATTTTCCGTGTGTGTTGCCGTAATGTCTGCAATAACAACCAAAAGCGCAAAAACAACAAAATAAGATGAGAAAATAAATAAAATAATATAAAAAATTATATATTCTTATTGAGATATACTGAAGCTTAGACTATACGAAAATGATGGGAGGCATTAGTTGGATTCGATTTGATATTCAAGACTTCAAATTGCAGGTTTCGATTTGTTTTAGCATCAGAATCATTTTGCAAGTATCACAGGATGTGTGCAACCTTTTTTGTATCCTCCTTAGGCAAATTTCTTCAATCAATTTTTAACCCTTTTAATATAAATTGTTTGCACTATTTCCTTTCAAATATACCATATTAGTTAAAGTATTTTTATATTTTTTATATTTTTTATATTTTTTATATTTTCATTTATGCAAAAAATTTCGAAAGAATTTGGAATTTTTTAAGAAAAATAATAAATTTTCTGTTTGCAAAAATCACTTGAGTAAGTGATGAGAAATAACTGGCCTTTATGGGCAGTGATGTTGTTCACATGTCCTCCAAGAATCCTTTGGGTACTCATTCATTTTTTTGCCATATTATTTTTAATATTATGTACTGCCTAAGGAGAAATGTAAATTAAGTAGGGAAAATTCTTAATGAATCATATAGAACTTAATCTGCAGGTGATGATAACAGATAAATTATATATATAATACGTAATAGTATATGTAGTTTTGATTTGAGTATCATATAAGTAGAATAAATTGTTTTACTGATTCTGATGTTTGGGACATAAAAATATATTGTTTTAATTAAGCACTAAACTAGTTAAATTTAATTCTTATTTAAATTTATTTTATTTATTCATTGATTAATTTATATTGTTATCTATTTCATCTATTCGTACTTAAATAGATAGTTTATAGAATATAACTGAAGTGACAATTACATGCCTATTTTATATATCCTGCATTCTGTAGTAGTGTACTTGTATAGTACATAACCAGAATCATATAGTAGTTCAAAATTATTTTAAAAGGAAACATTTATGATACAAACGGATGTTATAGAATCAATATAATTGTTAGTTAGACACATAATGTGATACCTGTATATTCAATATACTTAATACATATAGGGATATCCATTTCGTGTTCCTGATTTTGCGGCATTATTTCAGTGACAAAAGTTAAACAGAACTATCATTGAATTAATTACTTGCCTTCTTTAATGTTTACTATTTTATATGGATATGGATCTTGGAATATGTGCAGGTTGTGTGATAGAACCAGCATATAAATGATGAATTTTGGCATTTAATTTTTTTTAATATTAAGGTTTATACTAATGTTTTTAATAAGAAATTTATTTCATAATATTTTTCACTTAGTGGAAATTTCAACAGAAGAAATGGTCACTTTTGGAGTACTAAAAATCCACAAGTAATTGTCAAAACATCATTACTTCTATAAAATATCACTATATTGATATCAGTGATGTATATATATCACTGTGATATATAGTATGGAGTTGCAAGAGGCGTATGTTTGTTTTGAAAACAACAAAGATGTGACACAAATCGTCTATTTTAATTATTATAGTCATTTGATTAACATTTCTTTCCCTAAAATTGATGCAATGAATATGGAAGATACATATCAAGTTCGTTTTGCACTTTTTTTGTGGGACAAAATTCTATATCAGGTATATATAGTAGCATTTCAGTAAATTAACAAAGATCTTAGTGTAGACACTAAGTTCTAGCGTGATGCACTATTGGTTTTTTTTGTGAGGCTACGATATAAAGATATTATGTTTATGAGAACAATCATAAGAGAATCGATGTTTTGAAAATGAATATCCGTTGAGTAATGATAACGCTTTAATCAGTTACGTGCCGATTAATCATCGAAAATTATATCAAAATGATGCAGTACTATAAGACCTACTAAAAAGAACATTTTAATGAGGTATATAATACAAAATAGATATTTATTTTATTTTCCGCTATTATTGCTAATTCAAATTTTTACAAGTTATAATTTTTTTCGAAATATTGGGCAAAATAATTTAGTTTTTACGCAATAATTTGTTAATATTTTTTTATTTTTGAAGTACTAATTTTTCCGGAATATTGGACAAAAGAGTTTCATTTAAACAAAAAAATTGTTAAATTTTTTTTATTTAAATTGAATAAAATAAAAAAATAATCATTTCTAGTTAATTAGAAATGGTTTTTTGCTTGTTTGATAAACTTTTGAATGGAATATTGGATAAAAAAATTCATTATTTAAATATATTTTTTGAAAGCATAATGCTTTTAAATTACTCAATATCAGTTTAGTATTGAATTGTAAATAATTTTTAAATTTCAAAAATAGTTGAAATGTAAAACAATAAATGAATTAATGAAAATCTCATAAAAATCCAATTAACACCTTTCCAACACTTGTTTGACTCTTTTATCATATACGTATACTGATACCCACCTCTCGGCTCTTGAGTTTCGTAAATAAGTTTGTAGTTTGCCGCGATTCACATATTCAATTATCACAAATATTGGATCCTTATCTGTACAACAACCCAGAAATCGTACAACATTTACGTGTGGATCCAGTGATTTCATTACCTGCAACGAAAGCAAAAACAACAAAATTTAAGGAAAAAAACAAAAACAAAAATAAAAATAAATAAATAAAAGTTGAATGGAATCCCATAAATAAAATACACAAATTTGAGTCAACATGTATATTACAGGGAAGTACACGCGTACGAGCGCACAACAAGGCATAATTGTATTTTAGTACATTGTGACCGAAAAGTTTCCGGAAATAAATAAATAAAACGCAAAATTCTTAATCTTCATCAATATTTATTTTATCTCCTTCAAAATATGCTCCATTAGAAGCGATACACAAATGCCAACGTTTCTTCCAATCATAAAAACATTTTTTATAGGCGCTTTCCGGTATGGCTTTGAGTTCCCTCTGCGAATTCTGTTTTACGTCTTCTATGGATTCAAAACGCGTTCCTCTGAGTGGTAATTTGAGGTTGGGAAACAGGAAAAAGTCACACGGTGCAAGATCAGGTGAATACGGTGGCTGTTCGATGGTATTTATTGAATGTTTGGCCTTAAAATCGTTGATAATGTTGAACAAATTGAGGTGAATCGGAACAAGCCGGGCGTTGACACGTCGCATACACAAATTGTCCACCAAAATCAAACGAGCCATCTCACGACCGATGCCTAGCTCTCGTGCTATCTCTCTAACACTCACATGAGGATTTTTGAACACGATTTCCTTTGCCTTTTCAATGTTTTCGTCGGTGGTAGAGGTCGAAGGTCGTCCAGAACGCGGCATGTCTTCGACGGTCGTACGACAGTCCTGAAAGGCTTTGTACCACTCATAAACTTGAGTTTTCGATAAAACTGATTCCCCATAAGCCTTTTGTAGCATTCGCAACGATTCTGCACACGAAATTTCGTTCGAAAAACAAAATTTGATGCAAACTCTTTGTTCAATATTTTTTTCCATTGTTTTTTTCGCAACGCACTACTGAGGTGAACTGGTTTCAACAGCTGCCGTAAACGAACTGTCTGACAGATCGCGCTCATTTTTGGCATAGTAATTAAGGACAGTGCTGCCAAACTACATAAACTTAAAATATCGAAAAATATACAGCGCGCGAATTTTAAATGAGAATTTCCGAAAGCTTTTCGGTCACAATGTATGTAAATATTAAGGATATATGAGAAAGTATCTGTCAGAAACATGCTGCGACTCATACGCCCCGTTTACCTTATTTATGCGAATGTGTGGACTTAAAATGAGGCACACACTTTTCTGTTGAAAATTTTACATAAAATTTTCAATATTAGCACTTGACATTGTGAGGTGCGTGATGGCAGTGTTTGCGTAGGTTGCCAATTCAGAACCAGTCAGCGATTCTAAACATAAATGAATGTATATATCTATGTACATGTATATATATGTATGTATCTACGAATAAGTAAGTTAGTAAGTAAGTAAATATATTTATTTCGTTACGCATATAATACATCTAAGTATTACAGAAGGTGTTGAGGCATTCTGCTTTCATATTTTACGAAACATTATTTTTCCTGCTTCTAAGCAAAAAACAAAAAAAATTAAATTCAAAAAAAAAACACCTCTCAGAAGAGCTCAGCTTTAAAGCGCAGTAGGCCACATGCCAAACACTTGTGCTGTCAGTTAAGTTACTTAGATGAGAATTCCAAAGAAGCAATATTTAAAGATACTTTGATAAGTTAACATTAAACATTACATTAAAGCTAAAAAGTGGAGTCCCATAAATTAAAATAAAAGGCGCAGGCGTTCTTGATGGTTGCTACTTTGACATACGTGAAGTAATAAAATTATGAAAAAAAATAAAATTTAATATAATATTTACACTGTTAAGTGATATTTTCCTTATACATTTAAAACTTTAGCAAAAGTTTAGCAGAAAAAAGTTTTAAAATTTTTTGTTGAAAGATCTGCATAAGATTTGGAGAAGTTTTTAGTTCGTATATTTATGTATAAAATCAATTTTCATAAAGAGTGCTTATATAGTTTCTTTATTTTTATACAGAGTTTTTTAACATGTTTTTGAAATCATTTTGAAAATTAAAAATAATTTTACAGAACTCTGATTTACTAAACATATCTATACATATAAACAGGTAACTTTATAACATCTACTACTACACATATCAATTTTTTTAAAAAGACATAATTAAAAGGGGTTCGAATGGCAACCCTGTTTCGAGTGTTGCTAAAAAAAATAGCTTCTTTGTCATTATAAGAAAGCGTAGCTTTTTCGACAAAACTAATTAAACTTTAATAATACTTAATTTGATACTCAGCGAATATAATAAGGTGTCGATTCGTATGCGGAAATGAATACGCAAATAAACTAGCCAGGAAAGGAGCAACAACACCGATGGTTGGGCCAGAACCTTTCTGTAGATAAGGACACAGTACTCTCCTTTCTCCCATAAAAATTAGACAGAACCTGGTCAAAAAGGTTTACTGGGACAATCTACTAGAATTAACACAATCCACATTATTTATTGGTACCTATAAGAATAGGAGATACTTGGATTTTATGGACTTATCAAAAGAAAAACTTAGAATGAACATAGGAATCTTAATAGGACACTGTAAATTAATATACCACCTCATGAGACTGGATATAAATACGGATGCAAACTGTACATTATGTGTACAACATGCAATGTCTGTGCAATGTCTTCGATTTTAAAATCAATCAAACCTTTATTGAAAATTTGAACGTAATAAGGGTTTTTGGTACTTAAGGAGTGTACATCTCTTACATTCCTACATATTAACTGTCGAAAGAAACAAAGTGTGCTGCTTAGTTTGAAGTTTATTAAAATTCTATACATTCTTTCTTAATGTTTTAAACCTAATTGAAGGGTTCTAGAATTTATGTAACTTTTATGCTATTTGAAAATGTTGATTTGTTGTTTTTTATTTAGGTATTATTCCCCCGTGAACTAAGAAATTAAAATTTGTATTCTTATTATGCTATTTTACCTCTTTTTTTTAATATATAAATTAGTGTTGTTTATATTGTGTGAATGATTTGATTTTCCAACTGTTCAGACAATTCGAATATATGAATATATCATTCAATGTGCGCTTATTCGAATATTGAAATTTCGAATTATATATTCGAACTATATGGATCTTCAATTTTTATGTGCGCATATTCGGATATTGAAACTCGATTTTTGTACTCGAACTATATTTTATACTCGAATATATTTGAATATTAAAATTCGAATTTTGTATTCGAACTATATGGATCTTCATTTTTTATCTGCGTATATATGGATATTAAAACTCCAAATTATATATTCGAACAATATTCAACTTTATCTTTTAAATGTCCTCATTCGGATTTTGAGACTTCGAATATGCATAGTAAATACATGAACCCTAAATGCACTATTAAAAACGCACTTCATTTATTAACTTTTAACAAACTTTCTATGGTATTTCTGGAAATTTGTATAAAATTTTTAATCAAACTAATGTACTTCGCTCTCAGCATAATAAAGGGAAAAAATACAATAAAACAAAATATTTTCAAGCCTATCACATTTCGGTTGCAATAAAAGCATAAATTCAAAAGCCATATTTTTCCAAAGCTAATTTTATATGTGGAAGAAACACCGTCGATGAAGTTGTAAAATTAATCTATTGCACTCTCAAGAATTCAGCTTCCAACTCACAAATTCTGGCTCTCGACTGAACGACAAGTACTGAACTTTTTGTTCTTAAGAACAATTTCATTAAAATTTTATATTTCATATAATGCTTGTCTAGGGAATCGGCAATGTTCTGTGCGAATCCATTGTCTACTTGAACGAATTTGAATTTAGTGGCTGCTCGACGCGGAAGGAAAGTGTAATTTTTTTTATTATTGCAATTTTATTTTCATTTTACATTTTCAAATGATTTTAGGCTTTTGTTATGCGAAATTAACACGATTTTGTATTTACATTTCATACAAAGTGGCTGGCTGGGAGGCATAACAGTTGCGTTGACAGAAGCCAATCAACGCCATCATCGCCATCATCTCCACCTAATCGCAGCGTTCCAAAATCGTGTAAGACGTGTTTTTAAGTGGCTATAAAATTTAAATTTTAGCCCCTCACCTCCGGAGCTTCGGTGAAGAAACTCACAAACATTAAAATTATGTGAATTTGCACATGTTCCTTTATAGTGCGCAACATAGAAGTGGAGTCCTTGAGCATGCATGCATGTGTGTGTGTGTGTGTGTGAATCCTTTCAACAAAATTTTATGATCTTTGCTTTATGAGTATGTGAGTGTGTTTTACTTTATATGCGTGTTAAAATTTGCAAACTGCTTTACGGTATTTGTCGTCATTATTTGCTTTTAAGCATGGAAATACGATTTCGTATTAAAGCCATTCAGGACACTTAAATTTAATTCAAGCACATCGACTTAATGCTCCACACCTCCTTCACTTCTAATTGACACTTGTATTCTCTTTTTTTTTTTATAATAGATAATAAGTTTTCACTAATATCGATCATCTTTTAATCGTGTCATATTATCACATCTCAATATACTTGTATTTTAAAAAAAATTTTTAACTCTACATATAACTTTGCAATAAACTATGATGTTTTCAATAAGATCATTTGATTTTTCATAAAGTATCTTAGAGTATCTTGAGTTCAAGTATAAACAACTTAAAAATAGAAGAATATATGGTTGAATCAAAATACTAAGATCACATTAACAAATATACAAAAATTGTATTTATCAGACATCACAATAGAAAAACTCTATAAACATATCAATCGGCAATGAGATGGAATGATTGATGTAGTATTATCAACATCATATATTTTTGAGCAAGCTAATAGGGCAATAATAAATAATTCACAATAACTTAATACATAATTTTTTAAATTAATTTTAAAAAATATATTTTATTATCACCGATATTGCGAAAAAAACCAATACTCCGAGCAATTTAAATTTTATTAACTCTGTTGTTTCATTTGTTTGAAAGGTACCGTGAAGTAGACCCCCCTAGAAATAATTTTT